AAACACCAGTCCTTACAGATTAACCCAAGAAGTTAGAAATGATAGAATCCATAGTTGATAAAATTCTACAAAAGAATGAATCCTCCGGGAAGAATACTGTCTAAAGATATCCCTTGCTCTGGCGAAATTTCTTCCCAAGAATGCCCACCCGTGTCTATGCAGACATTGCTCTTTCTCTTTTCCTCATAACGCTGTCCTTTGCAGCCTTTGCCTGCTTGTGTCAAAGCAATCACCCTTTTCCTTCATAAACTCGTGAGGAGCTGCTCAACTGGAAACGCTGCCAAAAAATTTCTTGGCAGGGACCCAAGGACCCCACACACTGGACACCAACACATGAACCCCTCAGTGTCAGGAGTGGGGAGTGGAAGGTGTCAATTTCATGTTTCCACGTAAATACAACTTATCTATAAAGGGAGAAATAAAGGCTGAATCTGTAACTGATTAAGAAGTGGAAATCCCTTATTCTAGCCAGGATAAGGGGGGATATAATCATTCTGTATTTTATATAATATTCATGTCTGTGTAGATGCTAAAACATGACATGTACTTGTTAAAACATGGCATGTATTGAAGCTGTATTGCCTTCACCTGTTCAGGCCGCAAATGAGGCTTGTTTCATATCAGACCACTTGTGTTCAACAGAAGAACAATGAGGTCTGGCTAGAAGAACCAGGCAAGCTCCTGGATCCAGTTGCTGTTTTTTAATACTCATAGTAAATGTATAAAATCCTGGGGACATATTACGATGTTACAGGGCACATTAAAATTGGGTATTTTTCTGTTTAGAAACATTGATACCAACACAGGAAGTCTACTGATATATAGTTACAAGGTATGTGTTATTAATTTCTTTTAGTTAAAAACAGCCTTCAAATAGTCATCAAAGGCTTCTGAAGATATATTCCTACCTGCTTTGCCTTAACTTAAAAAAAAAAAGAAAAAATCAAAAACTCTTAATGCTTAGAGAAAAAGTAACCTGTATGGGAAAAAATCGTATTTTGCATAAACTCATTGACTCTAATTATCACTTGGATAATTAGATCATAAATTGCCCAGTAATTTCAATGATACAATAGAGTAATTGTTTAAATACAAGAAAGACAAATAATTCTAAAGATGTTAATCTAGGATATATGGACACATTGGTGATTTATATAATATTTTTGAGGTAAATGCTACTTGTATCAAAGAGATATAGTAAAATATATTGTCATTTAGAAATAAGCACTACTTTACCGCATCATTTTGTATTATACAAAATAGTATACATATTTAAAAATCTTAAAGGTCTTTCACTTCTCCAAAGAGGAAATGCAGATGGCCAACAGGCATATGAAAAAATGTTCAACATCACTCGTAATAAGGGAGATGCAAATTAAAACCACAATGAGATATCACCTCACCCCAGTGAGAATGGCACATCTTCAAAAAACTAGCAACACCAAATGTTGGCGAGGATGTGGTGAAAAAGGAACTCTCCTGCACTGCTGGTGGGAATGCAAACTAGTACAACCACTATGGAAAACTGTTTGGAGGTTCCTCAAACTGCTAAACATGGAGCTTCCCTATGACCCAGCAATCCCACTCCTAGGTATCTACCCAAAAGACACAAAAACACTGATTGAAAAAGATACCTGCACCCCCATGTTTATTGCTGCTTTATTTACAATTGGAAAAAACATGGAAGCAGCCCAAATGCCCAAAAGTAGATGACTGGATAAAAAAGATGTGGTACATATATACAATGGAATATTACTCAGCAACCAAAAAGAGAAACCCATGTCTTTTGCAGCAACTTGGATGGAGCTGGAAAAGATCATGCTTAGTGAGATAAGCCAGAAAGAGAAAGAAAAATACCGGATGGTTTCACTCATAGCAGGAGTATAATGGACCAGGCGAGAAAATAACAAAAATAATGAACAACCATATACCAGAGACATTTTTTGGGGGTGGAGTGGGGAATGGGATCAAAAACGGGGGGCGGGGGGAAGGGAGGGAAATGCACGGGACTATGGTGGTGGCATGCGGGTGATTTGGTGATGGGAAACCCACGGGGATTACAATCGAGATGGAAAAAAAAAATGTGCAAAATGATGTAAAAATAAACTTTTGTAAAATAAAAAAAAATCTTAAAGGTCTTTAATGTTGTCTTTCAATAAAATCAAAATTAAATGAAATTAACAAAATTGATTGAACTAGACTCAAGAAGAAACAGAAGTTTTCAGCATCAGCACCCACATGGCCTCATTGTGATCTTCTATCATATGTTTAATAAATAAGCTGCAGAAAATAATAAAGAAATATTACAGAATAATAAAAAAAAATTAGACAGACAATATACAAACTTCCAGAAATCCCATTTTACAACATCAGTATTGCTCTGGTGATAAAACTAATAAGAAAGATATCACAAGAGAAAAAGTTGTATCCATAAGTACCCCTCATGAATACAGATACAAATCCCTAGAAAAGTTTTAGCAAATGAAATTCAACTGTATGTGAAAAGGATTATTCGTGATGTAAGAATGCAAGAAATAGAAATGGATGGTTTATATAACATTTATAAATCAATCAATATTACTTATCAAATACAGTAGTCTTCCCCATTCCTGGGGTGGGGGGTTACATTCCATGGCTCTTTGAAGCTATAAATAGTAACTACAGATAGCCCAATATATTGATGTTCATTTTCTGTACACACATACCTATGATAAACTGTATTTTATAAATTAGTCACAGTAAGATTATTAACAATAATAAATAAAAGCACCATAGCAATATACTAAAAAATAAATATACCGAGTAAAAGTTAGGTGAATGTGTTTGCTTTCTCTCTTCCTCAGTATCTTACTGTAGGTAGTATTTTTGGGCTGTGGATAGCATGGATAAGTTAAACAACCGAAAACAAAACTGCAGCTAGTAAAAAACAAAAACAACAACAACAAAAAACTACTGTAAATAGAAGGAGGAAGAAAACCATGTGCAAATGTCAACTGAGGCAGAAAAAGTAATTCTGAACCCAAGTTCTCAGCCACTTGCCATTCATAAACCAAACATGAGAGACAGAGACTTTGGTTCTCAGAAGGAGATACGTGGAGTCGTGACGTGTAGAGACACTTGGAGAAGATGTGGGTTAGACCCGTGGGGAGGCTAATGAGAGCAGCCTTGAACTTGATTTCTACCTCGATTTTGCATCTTTGGTCCCAACTTGCCTGCCCAACACCCCCAACACCACCCCTCCTGCCCGTTACTTTGCTGTACAAGTCTAAGGCACCACACTGAAACTACTGGCCGTGTGCCCTGTACTTGGTGTTTATATGTAGATCATCCAAAGGGTTTGCTCAAGGCACACTGCCATCGACAGTCTCTGATTCCAGTCCCAAGCCAAGTAGCTAAGTAGCACTTTCTGGGGAACCACTGCCAATCTGACAGGCATGATGATTCCGAGTGCATTCTATCACTGTTCCTTGATGACCTTTTAACTTTAACTGAAATTAACTTTAGAGATAAGCACCACTATTATTTGCTTATGATTGATATTTAGTATGAATTTTATGAATATGTACATATTTGTGACTATATAACCTAATGACATTCCAGTAATCATCTTCATATTATTTGCTTTTAATAGTTTTAAGTATGTAGATCGTTGTAAGTAGTTGTGCTTCAATCGACTGTACCCTAACGGCACTCCGTACTCATTCCATTATTGTGAGCCTGGTGTTTTTTGTTCAATTTCATATTTATGTTACTTTTTTCTAAATATTGATTGAGATAGAAAAACATAAAGCATTGAATTTTTTTTTTCTTTTTGGTGTCAACACTTCATTAATAACTCCACATTTACCACAAAAAGCTAAGATTGGAAATCTGCGTTTGGTTAAGTACTGAGGTGAGGATTTGCTCAGAAAAACACTGGCCTGTGTCCTCTGTGCCAAAAGTCCTGTCACCAAAGAGATGCAAAGGAGACACCTTCCTTTTGCCTTTGGCTAAGTGGGTGGGTCCTTATGAGAAATACTTGAGAGTGCCTAACAGGATTCCTGGACTTGGGCTCTGAGTTGACAAAGAAAACAAAAAACAGTATTTGTGAGCTAGTTCTGATATAAGATGTGTGATTTCTTCAGGCAAAAAGCACCTGGGAGAAAAAAAAACCTTAGCTGACTCCTACCCCGAGGACTACGTTAAGCAGCAGTTCTCAACAAACGAGATCAGTGTCACCTGGAGTTTTGTTGAAAGTTAAAATTTGAGGATGCCATTCCAGGTGTGTTTTAATTAGAAACTTTTATGAATAAACAACCCAGAATATTCTTGTTAATGTGTTTGCGTCTTTGGCCTAAGATGGCCCTGGCCCAGCTGGAGTCTGAGAGGGATGCAAACTGCAGTGGCTGAGAGGGGGCCCAGGGCAGAAAGATACAGCAGGAGCCAGATTCTTCCCCAAGCTGTAGCCTGAACTGTTGGTCAGAAGAGTTAAATTAAGCAGAATCAAGTGTGAGCCAGCCTCTGTCCTCCTGCTTCCCTCAGTCTTGGGAATTCTGTCTCTAACTCCAATGTGGGAAACGGCGTTACATCTCCGAAGACATTCCCGGTAACCCTGGGAGGCTGGTAACACCAGGGCGAGCAACCGCTGGTCGTGGGGGGCAGTTGGCCTCAAAGGAGCACCCAGGGACAGTCTCTGTGGAAAGAGAATGTAACTGACAAGCCCATCCTGCTGGTGCTCCCTGGACTTGGGACTGGGACGCCCTCCCTCACTCACCTCAGGCATCAAGTCCTCATCCAAGCTAGTCACAGCTCCTCCCCTCCCCTGCCATTGTGAGAGCTGCTACTTTGAGGGTGCTGCCTGTTCTCGTACTGAATGTATATAGAAAATAAGCTCTCTATGTAAAGATATTCTAATGCTTTAGAATTTTTGAGCAAAAACTTGGCGCCACCCCCATCCACAGGGAGCCAGCTCGGGATCGCAGCTGAATCACTCTCTCCCCAAAGCCTCTTCTGAGCCAGCTCAGACGTCTGTAATGGAGGTGGATCTCTCCTGGGCACACATTCAGCCCGGCCCGCACAACTTGCCCAAACCTTTACATCTGATGCATTGAGGCTGAAATTTGAGTGGAATCCCCTTTGCTTTGATGCACGAGGTGTCGGGAGATGCCTGGACTGGCAGCAACATGACTGGGTAAGAGACAGGAAAGGGAGAAGCCATCGACTTTATTGTTGTCTTTCTCCTTTGCATGTAGCTAAGTCTGAGAGGCTCCAAAGAGGGCAGGCGAGGAGGGTGGGGGAAGAGAAATTTTAGTGCTTAAGATTTTTTTTTATTATTAATTTCATTAATATTTCAATTCATGAAACATTTGTGGAGCACCTATGGTATCATATGAACTTTTGTAGGGCATTGGGGATATAAAGGAGAATAAAAAGGCAATATCCCCCGTTTTTCTGGAGCTGGTATTCTCGTGGAATAAAAGAGATAATAAACTGTGAAGAAATATAAAGCCACGTAAGGGAATAAAGATGGTATGAGCTTGCTATTACTCAGGCCGGTCAGGAAATATCTCTCTGACCAAATAGGCTGATATTGGAAAAGAAACCTAAATGAAGTCAGGCCCATATAAATCAGAATGTTATGGGGACTGTAAGAGCCTGGCTTTTATCATCGTTGAGCACCTGGAAAATCGATGGAACTTATCCTGTGATTTCTTTCAAGGACAGGAAGAAACTGTCAAAGTGATTTTAACAGGGTGTGTTGGGAAATTGTGAAGTTATTTTCTGCTTACATTTTTTACAGAATAGTTCATTCAATAAAGCTGCTATATATACAGATACCATTATAAAAACCATTCTCATTTAATCATACACAGTAAAAAATAATCTACTGAGAGGTTTATTAGATGGACTTTTAATGACATGTAAGAAGTTAGTATAAAATACTTAATCACTCTGCTCCAAGTTTGCAGTCCTGTGTGTTGATGGTAACTGACTACCGAGATATTTACAGCATGGCAGTTGTCACATTAAACTGAGAACGTGTGTTTCCATCAACATTGTTTCACATTCGGTTAGTATACCATTTTTGTTTAATCCCTATTCAGTAAGAGGTTTTCAGCTCTTGTTCTCTGGCTTTTCTGAGCAGCTCCATGCAGGAGCTGTTCATGTGGGCTGCTGATATTGATACAGGGCCACTAGGATTTGCATGACTAAGAGATAAACCAAATGGCATATTTTATTTATATTTTCTGAACATATTTTATTCAGTGATTTAAGCATATCTATATATTAAAAATAAATGAACTTCAACAGAAAGTCTAATCATCAATTATTAGTGTCAAGATTGGAAACAAGCAAAGTTCTCCATGGCACAGAAGACTGATGTGGTACAAAGAAAAAAACACAGCACACGTTTCTAAAGGTTAGAAAGCAGAATTAGACTGGGAGCCCATCAGTCATGTCTATAAAAGATGGCGCCCATTGGCCATGACTGTCTGGCCATCTCCCACCTCCATCCACCCTGTTCAGGACGGACTGGCATCTGGACTTACTCGAAACACTAAACATGATGGGATCCTCTAGTTATTCACTTCATTCCAGCACGATTCATTCCTGCCACCCAGGCCTAGTCTAATATTCACAACTTTGAGAAAGGAGAATGGGGACTTCTGATGTACAGAAGACGTATTGGTCTTCTTGTAGTGTGTCCGCTATAGTTAGGGCTCCCGCTATGAATTCACAGAAATTTCCGTTCCTTGTCTTCTTTGCAAAGTTCAAAATGTGTATGCATGCCATTTAGAAAGCGCGCACTCCCTGTGTGTCTCGCAGCCACTGCGCAAGCCTGGCAGTGTCCCCTCGGCCGGCAGTCCTTCAGCGTGCCCCTGCACGCCCCCTTTTAGTTTTTTAGGAGAAAAAAGCTGGTTTCCATTTGTGCAGTGCTCAGCTTTTTGCTTTATTGTTCTTTCCCTCTGATCATCACTGTTGGAAGTAATTACATCCTACTCTCTTTTGGCCGGGAAGCAGTTTTCAATTAGAGAATAGCTTGAAAAACATTCGCCATTACACAAAACCCATGTCTCAGTGATACCGTCTGTGTAACAGGATTCGATTTTGTCCCCGTGCCTGACGGGGCAGCGCAGGCTCTGTGGGTAATCGTTTCCTGTCCATTAACATGTTAGCCACAGAGATTCTGCCTCCATCTCACATTTCACTCCCCAATCAACCCTCACCCCCGAAACCCGCTAGATCGCATTACTCTGTCCCCACTCTAAAGCCTATGGAGCTTAGGACTGGTGATATTCACGGCCCATCTAGCGACGCGCTTACAGGTGTGTAGAGGTCGGTGCTAATAATGCCTCCCGCGTGAGAACTGCACCTTCTAGATCAATATATCCCCTAGAGTTGAGCGATTTGTAAAGTACTTTTCACAGAGTGTCACTTAATACATTTTAAATTGAATTTAATTGTACCCAGGAAGCATGGTGTTTTTAATATCACTCACCAGGAAATAAACTTTAGAAGTAGGTTAATAAATGAAATGCCCAAGGCAGTGTTAATTTCCCAAAGCTTCAGGCCACGGGCAAACTGTGCTCTTAATCATATTTTATTGACCTTGCCTATTTATGCTTTTGTTTTCCCTCCAGGCTATGAATTTCTTGAGGACATGGGGCTGTGGCTTTGATTTCTTTTTCATTCCCCTCCCCCCCATTATTTCTTTTTTTCTATCTCTATCCCACGCATTGTCACGTTGCCTATATGAGTTTGGTGCTCAATGCATCTTGAACAAATGATTAATTTACATTTTAGGCACGACTCTAAATCTTAAAATTCTCACTGTGTTCCCGGCTGCCATGCCTTTGCCGAGCGCTAGAGAAAAGCCAGCTCGTCTTTGCTAAGAAACTTTAGTCTTTATCAAGAAAACCATGACACACCTGCGCTTGCCTTCCCACCAACGCTAACCTGAGTCTGAGAACTTCACAGGTGATAGGTAGAAAAAATGGAGGGCCTCTTTGTCTTTCTCGTGAATGATCGATTCTAGCAGTAACTAGAAGTAAGCCACTTAGCACCTCTGCGGCCACTTACTCCAGATACTGGGCTATTCTGGGGGTTCTTGTTTACATTTATTCTCCTCCATTCTATCTGCGTGTGTCTCTGGGAGCGCAGACTGCCAGTCACCCTGCTTTATGCCTTCCTTGGTGTCGCAAATGGTCACTGAATCCCCAGTGGGTCCAGCTGTTACACGAGACCCCGGGCAATGCTGGTCGACTGGCAAAGCCTGGTGCCCTCTGCTGTAAAGCGCACGGGCCCCTTGTGGTCTCATCCAATCGCTACATTGTGAGGTCACATGGCCGCCCCCAAAGCAGGTGCCAACGTCCCTGTGGCTCAGGTAATGCAACCACGTCCAAAACACTCTAAGGACGCCAGGCAATCCCAGGTTCTCTCATTTCACTTCAGCCAGTGCAGTGCACAGTACCTCACACTGCGAAGTGTGTGACTGTTTTCCCTGCACAGGGAAGAGCTGTAGCTTTCACAGTTTCTGCTTCCGTATCGCTGACTAGCTCATGTTTGGCTCTTTCTTCACCAAATCTCCTTTTCTTTCATTTTATTATGGATATCTATCCTAATCGATGTTTGATCTATAGAAATAAGTGAAAACAGACATATTAACAACAAAGTATACATTTGTCTGACAGGAAGATTTTTTTTTTTTAAATCCATATCAGTAGATACTATAATAGATCCACAGAAGAGAAATCAATATTTACTGGCTAGATATTGTATCTATTTAAAAAATAATGGATTTCACCTGCAACAGTGACTCACTTAGCAGAAGGGAATGACTGTCAGCCATATGAAGCAAGTCCTTCATTTTATCTTCATTTCATACTGTGCTATCATTATTAATTTTTTCATTTGTTTTGTAAGGAACTTGTGGTTGCAGAGGTGCTAAGTAGCTTACTAACAATTTTAAGAAAACTTATAGCAACAATAACTAACTATAGTGATATACATGATGTAGCTGTAAAACTCAAGTTCTTTCTGGTGTCAGTCATATAATTTCTTACTTTGCGTCCAGTTTTATATATTCTGCTAAAGGAACTTTCTAGTAGACAGAGGTAAAAGCCATCACTGGACATGTGTAAATCTCTGACTCTGGGAAGGCAGGAATAGCATGAGACCCATTGTGCCGGATCAAAGCATTCCCCCAGGCCCAGGGGTTACAACAAGGCGTGGTGGCTAACTGTATGTGGTTTGTCTCCCAGAGAGCCAGGAAAACTATTGCTGAATGTGTTGATGAGGGCGTTTCCAGAAAATAAAAATCATTTGAATTGGCAGACTCAGAAGGAGCCTGCCCTCAGCAGTGTGGGTCGGCATTGGGCCAGGCTTGGCACACACCAGGGAGCGCAGAGGCCGAGGAAGCGCAAAGCTGCTCGCTCCTTGGTCTGACACATCCACTTTCTTCCTCACTTAGGGCCTTTTTTTTTTTTTTTAAATTTTCATACCAAGTTTTACTTTTTTATTTAAAATATTGTAACCAATTAACATACTAGATAACATTGTTTACACTCCAACGGTGCATGACTAGGGCATACATGATTAAAAACCACAGTAATTATCTCAGCATTCCCTACAAAGTGCCCCATTTTGCGTTAGCTACGGGAGAGGTAAGGGGATGGAACACAGGGCAGGGGGAGGAATGAAGGAATGGCATCCTAGAAGGGAAAAAGCAAATGGGGAACTTCAGACATAAAGGGGGGCCTCGGCCTCTGGTTTCAGGCCTGCCAGACAGACTGACTGCCGGTAGATCTTGGATTTCTCTGTCTCCTTAACCGCATGAGCCAAGCTACTTGCAGTAAATCTCTTTCCTCCTCTATACGTCTCCTCTCCAGATGCATGTAATTATTGCCTTATTTCCTCTGTGCTAATGGCTAAGAAGTATTATCAATCAACGTAATCAAAATAGAAATAATAACTCAAGTTGTTTTTGTTGGTGATGATGTTAAACCGCGATACTCTGTGAGTTGAATTTATTAATTTTACTGTTGCATCTCCCAACTTTTTATTGTTTTTAAACACTGGGCCCATTCAGAGTAAATCACTCTCACTCAGAATAAAGTATTTCACACTTTGTCAGGGTACCTCACAATACTGTGAGAAGCATCCATAATTTATTGAAGTCTTAAAACAAAGGATCCATCAAGCCTCCTTCCCATTGCATCTCTGCTCAGAGACTCTTTACATCTGTTCCGAAAAGGCACCAACAGCTGTTGTCCCAGCTAGAAATAACCTTTCTGCTATTTCTTCTGAAACAAATCGGTATCTCTTTCCCATAAATTGTACATATTTATTTATCACTTCTTTTGTAACTTGGATCAAAGCAAAAATAACCAAGTGTTCTATTTCCCATTCTACATGAGAATTCTTTATCTGAATGACATGGTGAGAGGAGAAAATCTTTATCTTGATAGATTTCTTTACTTGAGCACTCGGTAACTGAGAAAGAACCACAAATTGTTACAAAAAATAAATGGCAAGAAACTAGCTTAGCTCATATATATTTTCTATTTCCTCACCTCCTCTTCCCACCATACCCCATGTTCCCCAAGAGCTGACTTTTGCACAATAGAGAGTCAATGGACTATATTGAGGTAATTCAGTGAATGTGAATGAGGTTCACAACCTGACATTTCTCATTGCAAAAAACTCCTTTCATCTGGCTCTTTGCATTCATTGCCTGTGTTTTGACGTGCAACTCCTTTAACCCAAATGCACTAATATTGTTATTGCCTTTCAAATAAAATCCAAGTGTCTGGAGATTGGAGTCAAACACCTCTCTGCATTTGCATCGACTTTTCTTTCTGGTCTAAAGGCATATTGTACTCAAACCACTTTGTTTCCTTGATCTTTCCAACTCTGCATCTCTGTTCTGCTACACTTTATGAACTGAACAATCTTCTGGTGTGATCTCTGCACTCACACTGTGTGCATGTCTTAGCATGTGTTTCCCCTGCCACCTGGACTGCAAATGTTTGAGACATGCCGCAGCTTCTTCCTTGTTTTAAACCCCTTTTTCTTAAACAAAAAAAAGAAAGAAAAAAGATTTATTTACTTCAAGAACTGGGGTGTAGGCCAGAGCTTAGAGGTGAGAAGATTCAACAGAGACAGAGTGGGGAGCAGAAATGGCAGACTGACTAAAGGCACTGCTGAGAGCAGCGGGCCAGACAGGAGAGGTCTGCTGCGCCTTGTGGCTGGGGATCGAACTTCTGCATCAGTGGCTGCAGACAGCTTCACTGTGCTGTGCTCTAACCTGTCGCACCACCAGGAAGGGCCCGGTGGCATCTCATTTTCTATCATCCTGAAGTTTTACATTGTATTTTATTGAATTGCATAAAAAATACGGTATCACTAAATACATCATACAAAGCGAAATTTACTCTCTGTAAAAGTTATAGGGTCTATTTCTCACTGTTGTTAGAATGAAATAAAATGCATTTGACTTCAGGATGCCCAGTATATTGGCGTGGGGGTGCGATGCATACTGATTTACACTGTATCAGCCACACATCCTGTGCAGCCATGGCCGCGGGCAATGGTGCGTGTCTATCCGTATGTCAGGATTCAAGTAAAAGCTCAGGATGAAATACAGAAGAGACGCACGGCTTTGGTGGCACTTTCCTATCTCACTGCCGTGCTGTCATGTGTGGAATTGCGAAACCCCACTGGCTTTTTATTAAAATACTGACAGACTCTGTTCTGTTACAGAGTCGAATTTTTTCATATTCTTTTGGGGGGAGTTCAAAGTTGTGAACCACTCTCAGTAGTAATTTGGAAATTTTTATTGATTTTCTCTTACTTTTCTAACATCAATGTACTTTCACTTTAAACAGTTGGGACAAGATTTCTCATGCACTCCAACTTAACCTCTCTGCAGTGGGCAACATATTTCATTGCAGAGGAAAACAAATACCTGCATGGAGAGGTCATGTGAGTATACAGGTATTTTTGCATGTATTTAGTTACAGCATAAAGTAACCTTCTGTGACTTGAAATCTTGAGTTAAAAATGTGGGCCCTCTCTGGTGATGCAGCGGGTTAAAGCACAGCACTGAGAAGCGAAAGCCACTTCTGCATGAGTTCGATTCCCGCCTGCCCTGGAGGTGACCACATGGCTGGCAGACCTCTCCTGGCCCGCCCGCTGCTCCCCTCAGCAGTGTACTTCGTCGATCTGCCTGTTCTGCTCCCCACCCTGTCTCTGGTGAAGCCTCTCGCTGCCCCTGAGCCTCTGGCCTGTACCCCAGTTCTGTATGTACAAATAAATAAATCTTTAAAAAAAAAAATGTGTTATGGATTCTGTTTACCAATGCTTTATACTGCGGACAACCTTGACCAGCAAGGCCGGAGATTAGGGGCCCCAGGTCCAGCGTACAAAAGAGTCCATCGATCGTGCAGCAACAGAGAGAGTTTGTTGAGCTTTACCTGGGCTTATATACAGGATGAGGGTGATGCAAGAAGCCAGGAGGGGAGGAGACCAACGGGCATACAGCACGTTTGGCGGGCTGCTGATCTCGGGCGAAAATGGGCGAGAACAGAGAAAGAGGAAGGGTGTGGGCGAAGGGTTTCTTTGGTCGTGTCTTTGTCAACCCGGATGTTTTTTTTGTTTTTGTTTTTTTTTTAAATGCTTTTTATTGCCCAACGGAACAAGCTGTCTGCCTTGTTTCCCGACATTATACAAGCACATAATTTTGCAATATGTAAGCCTACTGTGGTTTACGTACGAATTATTTATAAGTGGTCATACTTACACCAATTTACTACTTCAAACAATGCTGTACTCTACAACACTATACTAATTGTTATTTTTACAGATGGTTAATTGGGTCATTATGATGTTCAGAACTGAAATTACTAATCAAAGCATAAACATTCATAAAATTTGATAGTTAATGATTTTATCCAATCAGAACCACTGAAAGAGTTAAAATAAGTTCTCCAAAAGCTTTCCTTCCCACCTCAGGCTGACTGGGTATTTTCAACATTGTTATTATTACTATTTCCACAGTGAGAGTATCATTTTTGAGTTCTTTTAAATTTTCATTTTTCATGATTACTTTTTTTTTTTGGGTTTTTTTTTTTTTGCTTTGCTTTTTTTTTTTTGCTTTTTTCTTTTCTTTTTTCTTTTATTGTTTTTTTTAAAACTTTTTTCTTCTTAAACTTTTCTTGATTTTAGGCCTTCTTTTGGTTTTTTGTTTTTTCTTTTTACTTTTTTTTGTTTTTTCATTAGGTTCCAATTAAAATTTAAAAAAAATCATATACTCAGAATGTATATGAATTACTCATAATACATTTCTGAGAAATATAACACTTTTGTCAAGACATAGAGTAACCTGATTGCTTCTTATAGGTCCTTTACTAAACCCAACAATAAATATTTTAAATATGGTAGTTTTGTTGGAATTTAGAGATTTAAAACTAACTTGATTTAGGAAATTCATTAAGCAGGGAGTCACTTCTGAAGAAGGAATACTCTTGAAACAGATAAAACTTAGATAAACTCACTTTATCTTAACATACCATCTTTTAAGCAATAAACATTTGTAACCTTGGGGGAATGGCAATTTCTGTAACAATCATGAAGCTTTGACTTGTATTCCTCTTAAAATGTCTTTGAAGATAGAGATCTGAATTCATTAAGTAGGTAAAAGAATGACTCACATAGCATTTGGATCAGCTTTCTGTCTTCTATAAAAGTTTGATTTAGTAATTTTACCCCCTACATTTGAGAGTTTAACAAGTTTAATGTTTCCTGGCAAATTAGCAATCACACTGGTCTTGGATTGGGGTTTCATTTTTGTCTTTCAGGTGAATAAATCACACAGCTTATTAGTTGGGGGACTTTTTCATGTCTCTAATCGACTCTGGGTTTGAAAACTGAAAATTAATCAGATTGGCAGAACGACTTCTAAAAATTTTAAAAATAGTCTCCCAGAAGGATGGTAAGTTGAAAAGACCGTCCCTTAGCAAAACTACCTTCAGAGAATATCCCTTGCAGAAGAAAGTGTCCCTCAGCACTTTGGAGTGTATGTGACAAATAGCCTACCTTCATCAAAGATGCACCTGTTTCTGCTGCCGCGTCAGAACCTGGAAACAGCAGACTGATGGCAGTGCCAGCATTTGTCATCATTACAATATATTAGCATATATTTCTTAGGGTGCTGTTAAATAAACATAATTGAAATTTACATACACACATGCAAAACTGATTGCTACCTGGGACGATTCCACGTAGATTGTAACTGTTGGCAACCTCCTTTGTCAGAAGTGTGCTGTGTTATCTCCTTGTCTTTTCTCCATCTGCACTCCTGGGGCACAGAGCTGTTGAGAATTCTGTGTGATGATACCAGCTCTGGATCTCACATCAGAATAAGAGGGTTTAGAAAAGCAAAGAGGCTAATCCATGAGCCCCTGAGTGCATTTGGGGTGTCTGCTCAGGAGCAGAGTGGGGAGATGCTCAGAATGCCCTTCACCTACCCAGGGCTTTGTTGCTGCTGACTAGTGTCCCTGAACCTGCTTTCCCCCATCTGACACACACTCACATAGGGTGTGGGGGTGATGGCGGCCTTTTTCTGTGACAGAAGTTTCTATTGTGGATTCTTATGAGCTGCGGCTCTTGCATCATAGGTTAGACTGATGTTTGGAGGGAAGCAGAGCTTTACAAACTCTAATTGAATAGGAATCACACGGGGTTCTTGTTGCCCTGGAAACACTCAGTGTTGGGGAGGGGGGTTGCTGACTGATTTTCTCACAAATCCCAGGTGATGGCATGCTACTAGATGTGGGGATCACATTTGGGAAGGGAAAGGGCAAACGGTTTCTTTGCAAGTTAGTCAGTCTGAGACCTGCTGGACCTGTGAAGAGTGTGCTACATACAATATAAGAT